TTAAATTTGTAAATAAATGTAAATAAAACTGTGAAAATATTGTCTTTGTTAAAATTTATATGTTTATATGTATAAAAATGTGATGCTGGAAAATTTGGTGATCAAAAGTATCTTTTTTTGGTGATCATTTGTATCTAAAAGCGTTTGGTGATCAAAAGTATCTTTTTTTGGTGATCAAAACAATTGACACCCAATCTTTTTCTTCCTCTCTCCAATTCTTCTTTCATTTTTATATGTCTCTTTGTTAACTTTTCTACTTATCCGTTCATTAAGACTCTTTTGCAAATTGATACAATGTGATCCATTGGATCGCGATTTCGATCTGTATTAAGATTTTCTTTTTCAAATAAAGTTTATACCAGCTAAGTCACTTAGCACTCCCCCAAAGCTACTCTACTTTAGTTAAAATGTGTGCTGGCAAGATTAGTCAGATAAAAGCCTGTGTGTTTCCAAGAAGTCTGTAGAAAACTCTCGGAGAAAAACGGTAAATTTACGTTTGTATGTATTGAATCTATATTTTCTATAAAATTTTAAAGATCAGATAGAATCGAATAGCTAAAACCAGTAATAAACTATTCTTCTCGTAATGTTAAGAAAAGAAAACCTATTTTCGTTAAATAGTGAAAGAAAATCGGAACAGCTGAAAGAAAATGGGGAAATATTAAAAGAAGTGGAAGTGAGTAAAGATCAATCGGAAAAGCGAAACTGTAAATGTGACAACCTTGTTTCCAATATCGTTGACTTTTAATTACAACGGGAATGTACGAATGATACGCTGATTAAGAAACAAACGAACTGTGATGCTCCTATCAGGATTCAAACGATTCTCTTGAGCCACTCGTCAATCGCTCGATTGACTTCTTCTGGACTTTCTTCCATCACCCAATGACTTGTTTCCAACTCGATCGTTTCGACATCAGCTATATATTGCTTTTGTCCTGAATAGGCAGAGATAAGACTTACATAGTCTTTCCTTCCTCCTATAAAGAGAACTGGCCGTTTAATTGTCGGATCGACATTCATCTCATCATCCCCATCCACATTCGCAATTGCTGCTTTGTACCAATTCAACTTCGGTTGCATTCCCTCAGCAATATATTGACGAAAGATCTTGTAATCATCTTCTGTCATATATGAAGCTCGAGCAGTTCTTCTTCCATTCGTCAACCACTCTCTTGCCTTTCCGATAGGGGCAAAATCTGTCTTCCATTGTACTGGATCACTCGTAAAGGCAAGATCAAGGAAGCTTTCCAAGTTATTTTCAATAATTGTTGCACAATCATCAGAGATAAAGAATTTCCAATAGCCAAGAGTTTCGTAACCAAAGGCTTGCTTCGAACTCTCCAGTGCTTGATCGAGATCTATTATTCCCGGTGGCGTATAACCAACACTGATCAGAACAAGGCCCAATGTTTGCTGAGGATGATACAAAACAAATCGACTTCCCGGTCGAGTACCCCAATCGTGTCCAATAACAAAGACTTTGCCCAAGTGCAAATGGTTGAGAAGAGCTACAAGATGTTCAACCATTGATTTGGACCTGTATTCGTCTGTGTTCAATGGTGAATACGTCTTACCATAGCCCATCATATTTGGTGCTAGACATCCGTATCCTTGCTGTGAGAAATGCTCGATTTGATGACGCCAGCAATGAAACGACGAGGGAAACCCATGGAGAAACAATAAAGTCGGTCTTGCATTATTATCGTCGTCATCACCGCTGCCGCTTGCTTTGACATAAATATACTCATAGGTAATATTGGTGGCAACTTCGTAGCTCTGTGTTTTTAACATAGGGCCAGATGGTTTTTGATAAATGTTCACTGTATGAACGCTATCAAGTAAAGGCAGAGATACGACGACAAAAAGAAATAATATGTGAAAGGAAAAATATTTTAAAGTGTTCATTTGTTCGTGTTTGTCTACGTTGTGAGGGCGATGTGCAAATCAAAAAGTTATACACTCCTTTATATTCATTCTCCTCTTTTAATCCTCCATTTGTTCTATTGTTCTCTGTGTTACTCTCTCTTTCCTCTGTTGTAGTCATTGTTTAAATCTTAATTTCATATTACTATTAGACAATGTTGTCTACACGTTAATATAGTCTTTGTCACTTGCACTTTCTTCTTTCTAAATACGAGATACAAACTACAACAATGTGTTGATATGATAAGGTCACAATTATGGGAAGCCTGCCGCCTTCAGACTCTTCTTCATACAGAAACTATGGTCGATAAAGAGACATGACAGACGGCAAAATTTGATCTATGTACTCTGATAGAAGCATCTTCTATGCTTGACACGACAAAGAAAAAGATATGTTCTATTCTTTTTTTTGTTAATCTTCCAGTGTATGCGAAGGATCAAAGAAAATGTTATTGCTCGTATAAATAAAAAAAGTACAGGTATTAAAAAAGTACGCCATTTAATTGCAACAGAAATGATTAAAATCGATTACACTCATTTTTTTAATGTAATTGCCAAAAGTCCATTTGTTGTAGTTGAAATCAGTAAAAATCGATATATTTCAACTGAAATTTGTCGAAGTCGATGCGATTTTTTCTTCTTGATCAAAATCATTCTTCATATCATACTCGGTAATCCATTTATTTTAATTTATATGAGCAAAATTAATTTGTTTTATCAAATGTAACTGTTTTCGATTCAATCCTCGAAAATTTGATTGATCCAAATCGACCTGTATATATGAGACGAGAAAAAAATTAATCTTAATAAAAAATATAAGCACACACTTCTGACATCAGTAAAGTGTAAAGTGACATGGCCAAATTGTTATACGATTGAGCGAGATCCAAATGTGCAGTAGGTAGAATTTTAAGGTGATATTGGTTTAGAACCCAGCTACATCTGCAACGAAAAATAACTTTTCATCCCAAATAAAACAATTTATGTTGTCAGGCTTCTGTCAGTATTCTTTTATAATTGTACTACATCTAAACCCATATTTATATCAAATTTAAGAGCATATGGTTCTTCTAACTGATAAATACTTTGGTTAACCAATCCACTTTATTGTCAAATCGACTGCAGAATTTTCACAAAACATTTGTAATCGCTTGTGAAGTGAATCAATCACATAAAAAATTGCATATGGATCAACTGTTGACGAATTTAGTCGGAGTCATTAATTCGCTGAACACCAAGTTCCCCAGCAATGACTTCACTTCTTTTTCTTCTATTTTTTATCGCGATATTATATTGCTGTTCGCAGTCGCTATAAACATGTTTCATTCAAATAGAATCCCATTGATCCACCAGGTGATTCATTTTATTTTTAATTTTTTTGTCTCACTGTGGAAGATGTGTTACAAGATATATTCTATTTCATTTTTCTCGCGAACAACCACATTAAGCAAAAAACTAACTTCATGATCATGATCACTGTCTTCGAGAGTACACATTGCCACTTTTGACGAAAACGAATACCAAACAAAAGCGAAAGAAAGATATCACTATATGTGAGATTTAAACAAACAACCGATTAATAAATCTGAAGCACTTTCAGCACAGACGCTTTAACCAACTAACCTATATCACAAATCTTACTGTGAAAAGCTAGGCAGTCAGTTCTCAGACTTACCTACCTTTTTTTTACAGTGTGTTGTATGGATAATATCACACATCAATTTTCGTTCCTTGTCCTATACTTTCACCTTTTCATACATACATTTGGCAATCTGAATCTGCTATAATCGTTGCAAAAGAAAAGAAAAATTTAATCATCATGATGCGACGAAGCCATGGGAGAAGAAGAGAAAGAATATCAGTGCTTCGCATTGCGTAGTGTGTTACTGTACAACCATCGGGAAAGAACTTCGATATTGTCGAACATACTAGAATCAGAAAAGAAGTACAAGTTTTCGTATATAAGTCAAATGACAAAACACCTACAGTATATTAAAAGATAAACATCAGTTCGAACAGTTGTGTGCACACTATTTTGTGTCAATCACTCTAAATCTAGTTTTTAATTATTATTATTTAACAACACCAGTAACAACAAGAATGGCTCGGGTGATTGGTATCGATCCTGATACAACTTATTCCTGTGTTGGAAAATTTCAACATGGCAAAATGGAAATCATTGCTATTGATCAGGGAAATCGTACAACACCGTAAGTATAATGTAGAAAATGTTTATTTATGAATTCTCTACATTTATTCTTTCTCACCAAATCATTTATTCTCACCAAGCCAACAGATGATTAATCGAAAAGAAACTTAAAAGTATTTCACATGAAGGTCAGATAATATCTCTTGTTTGATCTGAAGTCAAGATTGTCCGCCGAAGAGACCAAGAAGTCAACGTTCGGGATCAAAACATCAACAAAGCCTTCGCTGAACGTACAGTAAACTAATCTATTGAGGAAAGACAGAAAAAACATTTTTCTTATCATTTAATAGAATTTTTCGTATGACGCTGTTTATGAACATCTTTCTTCTTTGCTAGGTGAAAAACCAAAAGTACAAGTTGCATATAAAAACGAAACAAAGGCATTCACACCCGAAGAAATATCATCGATGGTGTTAACGGAGATGACAGCCGAAGCTTATTTGGATATTTGCATTTTATGACAGCGCTGTGATTCTTATGAATGAATTTTGTTTTATTGTAGGCAGAAAAATTAATGATGCTGTTATTACTGTACCAGCCTATTTCAATGATTCACAACGGTAGGCAACAAAAGGTACTGATGTTATTGCTGGCTTGAATGTTTTGCGAATCACTAATGAGCCGACGGCAGATGCGTTTGCCTACGGTTTAGACAAAAAAGTAAATAGTGAAAGAAATGTCTTGATTTTTTATTTGGGTGGTGATACATTTGATGTGAGTGTGCTGAAAATTGCGGGAGGTATATTTGAAGTCAAATCGACAGCTGGTGATACCCATTTAGGAGGTACGTAGAAATTGTCTCGCTGTTCAAATGTTTCCTGTTATAAATATGTGTTCATTTTCAGGCGAAGATCTTGATAATCGAACGGTGACGCATTTCATCGAAGAATTTAAACGTACAAACAACAAAGATTTATCCCAAAATAAACGTGCTCTTCGTCGTTTACGAACAGCGTGTGAACGCGCAAAGGTAAATATTTGACTAACAATTTGATACTAAGATTCATCTCAAAAAATTTTATTTTAAATTTATCTGGAGAACATTATCATCAGCATCTCAAACATCAATTGAGATTGATGCAATACACAAGGGTATTGCTTTCTATTCATCAATTGCTCGTGCTCGATTTTTGAAGAATTGAATGCCGATTTATTTCGTTCAACATTAGAATCTGTTGAAAAGGCATTGCGTGATGCTAAAATGGTAAGTTAACATTAAAACAAAGATGTGTATGCCAATGACATCATTTCTTTTTGTAGGACAAATCACATATGTATGAAATCGTTCTAGTCGGTGAAGTCGGTGGAAGTACACGTATTCCAAAAGTACAAAAACTTCTGCAAAATTTCTTTAATAGAAAAGAATTAAATAAATCAGTTAATCCCGTAAGTATTATTAAGCAAGAATATATAAAATTGATTTAATTACTTGCTCTCTGATTTAGGATGAAGCTGTTGCTTTTGGTGCTGCTGTTCAAGCTGCCCCTTTAACGGGCGATAAGTCGGAAAAAATTGAAGAAACCTTATTGTTAGATATTACACCCCTATCATTAGGTATTGAAACAGCTGGTGGTGTAATGTAAGTAATATGAGATAAAAGTATGATTCAAACTTTTGTAGTACCTAACTTTTGTAGTAGTAATATGAGTTCTGTCGTTTAGGACGCCAGTGATTAATCGAAGCGCATCTATCCCAACTAAACAAACACAGACATTTACTACCTATTCAGATATAATCAGTCGAGTGTTGATATTAAAATATTCGAAGGTGAGCGATCGACATATGTATTCATATCGCCTTTTGTAAAAGTGAACCGTCTTTATCTCGTGTGTTTAATTTCTCATAATTGTATTTCTGCTCTGTTTCAGGTGGTATGTTGTACCACTTCATCAATCAGTTTCAATAAGAACGAAAACGAAATTCTTTCTAGCGATGGTCAAAATATCATCATATGAAAGAACGCTTATATACAGTTTACCATTCCGCGGTAACAGGCTTTGAAGCACGATGTATCATTCTATCCAGTTGTGTACATTCACGTGTTTATATGCATAAAATATTACGATTTTATTCACAAATAGTCTTGCCACATTTTCTTCGTAATATTAACACACGTCAAATTCGTGATATTCGTATAGTATTTAGCATATAAATGCCTTAAGGCATACTATTTAAATTGCAATTTTAAGCTTGTTAAATTCTGCACTTTTTATATAATAACCACTCTGCATCTGATTTTGTTTACAGCACTATACTTCACTAACTATTCTACAATAGGTCAAAGCCACTCTATCTGTTCACTATTTTGCCCATTAGTCGCACACACTTAGGATTCGAAACAATCCGTTACAGTTCATTTTGTAGCTCTTTCAATTCTACATTCCTAATATCTTTCTGTTTCTAATCTCTATCTGTGGAAGAAACTATAATCATTTTTGTCTGTCACTACGACTAAAATCGAGCTTCTTGTCAAGTATTTGAGCAATACATCTATGAAGACAAACTTTCGAAACAATGTGTTATAACTCATTGTATAGCCCTTTCAATTCTACATATTTCTATGTATAAATCATTTCGGGTCTGAGTATGCTGACAGAAGTAGAATCAGTTTTTGTCGGCAATTATGGGTAAAATCGAGACTCCTGCCAAGTATTTGCCCAATACATCTATGAAGACATTATTTTCAAAAGGTGTGCTACATATCATTTTAGAGCCCGTTTGATTACGCATGTTTTCGTGCACAAGATTCTATTAAGAACGTCGGGCTTTCCGAGAAAAATGAATAAATACGGTCGAAGAGACTTTCTGAACCGTTGCTCAGAAATAATTAAAAACTTCAACATATGGTAGTCTACAAAGAACTTTTAAGGCGCAGAAAAATTACAAATAAAATAAGAAACGGTTTCTGATCAGTTTCAGTCCTTATCTTCTCAAAACTATATAGGGCGGTTTTCTTGTGGAAACCGTCAGTTGTCCTTTTGGATATCTGCTGATATTCTTTGGTAGTATCACATAATAATGTTTCAAGAGAAATAAACAGAAGATGTCATATGTAAGCGCCGGCTAATACTAGCTATGGAAAACCATCCAAAAGCACTGCTCCTTCGTTTACAACTACACAAAATGCGACTGTAGTGTGATATAAACTGAGCGAATTAATCCAATATAACAGAAAATGCATGCCATGTATATAGAAAGACAATATAGACGAAAAAGAACAAGAACACTACTGTATAACACCATCCATGCATCACGTGATCAAATTCATGGCCATTCTTAAGCCCCTCTCAGTCTGTAAAATCTTAAAGTGAGAAAAATTTATAATTTCATCGCTGAACGATTTTTCCCGCTATAATCTCGTGTCTGCCCTCTAAAAGAGAAGACGCTTTTCAAAATAAGTAAATTGGTTTAGTCATTGAACCGTTATAAAAACCTTTTCAACGTTTTTTATTTTTTTTCCAAAACCACCTACCAAAACAAAACAAAAATCCAAAACAATTCTTTAGAATATAGATACACCGTCCTTTTAGAAAACCATCAATTGTTTTAGTATTTTAAAATAATTAAAAGGTTTTTTAATATACCATAAAAAAGCATTCAAATGCCTTTTCTAATATAGTTTAACCGGTATTTTAGAAAACTGAAATTAGTTTTTTTCTCAGAATAAAAAAAGTTTGATAAGGTATTTATGCGGTTGCAATAGTTATAGCCTTTAAACCCTTTCTCATAGATGATTACACAACTTTGTTCCTGTAACGATTATGCTCTTTCTGGATTATTTAAAATACTCTAGTTTTTAAAGTATTCTTCTTTATTCTTTCTCTGCATATCCCTACATCATATCTATCGATAGACTTTATGTGTGACAGAAAAATGAAATAAACTATTTCGTTTCACTACTCTTTAAGAAACGCTATAATTTGGTCGATTCGTGTATCGTTTTTCCACCTTAAGTCTCTCATATATCGGGTGATCCAGATATAATAGCTGTGTTTTTCTCCTGTTCTTCTTCATACAGTCTCAGTCTTTTCGAAATTTTTTTTATCAAAAGATGCGTCGCTAAATACTCTACAGAACCACACCTAAACTTTAATTTTCGAACTTCGATCACGAAAACTAAGCAAACTAGAAGAAACGTGAAAAGAAATGAAACTTTGTAAATTTGGTACTTTTTCTGACTTGAACTTTTTTTCTGCTATTATTTCCGTAAAAAAAGTGCAGCAAAAGTGACAACTCAGTTTCTTTTGCACTTTCGAATGTGTTCTGTCTCGTAGTCTGTAATAAATTTTTTAGGGCAGACGGTGTGCTCGAGAATGAAGTTTCAAAAATTGGCAACCTCTCCTTTCGAACAATGGGCTTAAGCAAGAACTGGAAAACGTAATCGAAGTTTTGATTTTGCAGTTAGATAGAGAAAAGTAATCATTTCTCCTAAAAAAACAAACAAATCTGATCAAAAGTCTTTTGTTTTGCGAGAGTTATAGAGCTTTTTCTGAAAACACCACCATAAGCAGAATTTAAAAAACTAATGAAAAACTGCGTGGCAAACGGCAGACAAATTATTATTTCTCCGTGAATTTGGATGTAAAAAAATGTGAAGAGTAGCTAAAAGATAGAGCGAAGTCAGAGCTACAAAATGACTAATTCAATTCTTCTTGTTTTCAAATCGTCAACACAGGAAATGGTTTTTGAGTTTAGAAAGTTTTCATTTCCCTTTCGTCTACTTGGCTTAGTTTTCTTGATTGAAGTTCTGAAATTAAAGTTTAGGTATGATTCCATAGAGTATTTCGCGGCACATCTTTTGGCAGAAAAGCTCCAAAAAAAGGTCGAGACTGTATGAAGAAGAACAGATAACAAAAAAATATCCCATTATATCTGAACCACCCCGATAGCACAAGATAAAACGTTCACGCTCTACCGCGTGCATAAAATGATTATACATCATGTGCTCGTTTACCTACACGACATATTTCCTCCAAGGTACTGAGCAGTGCATGGTGTTATACAATCGACTG